CTAGAGTCAAAGCAAGAATGCAGTTAGGTGGTACCCCAATAATGCCTACAAGACATAAGGTGTTAACCTAGTGTTAACAGGAGAGGTGAGAGAAATAACCAAATTTTGGATATAATTTGAAGATGATGAGCATGTCAGAAAGTAGTTTCAAAATTAGGCTTTAGTAAAAAGGAGACCAAAACTGTTTATAGACAGAGGAACTATTTGTAAAAACTTGTAGTTGAGCACAATAGTGAAATTATTCTGTCTAGTGGAGTGATTTTATGTTGGAGTTTGAGCTACTCCTAAAGATGTACAGTTGTTTTCATCTGGATAATATAAAGCTCAAATTGTGCCATGGGACGTCAAGCCCAAGCTTGGGGAGAGGTTAGGGTGTGATTCTAATCTAAGACAAATAAATTGAAATAACTTGGGGAGGAGGAGTTAGGAGAAGGGAGTTGGGTGAGCATTTTAAGAGTGAGCAAAATATGGAGTCTTAGGAGTAAGTACAGCCTGGTGGTTAAGAGTTAGGTTGCCTGAGCTCACATCAGTTACTATGAAAACAAGATATATTTCTACCTAATGCCAAATTTATAATAATTGGATCAGTGTGAACTGGGAGTCATGCAGATTGTCATCAAGCCAACTATCAGTCAGGCAAATCTGCCAGAAATGCCTACCAAATTAATCTTAAACCTAATGAATATTCTACTAGGCTATACACATGGCTGAAAAACGATGTAATCCATTCCAAATAGTAAACATCATTGTGTGTTTTTGTTCATCTTTGCAGGTTCTTGAACTTAGAATACAGGCCACTATGAGTCATGTGAGCAGGTGTCTTCCACTAAACATTAAATTACAAATGAATTAGAACTTTAACATTATTTTAAAAAGGTTTTCTGGTAAACAATGAAAAGCACAGTGGCTGAAAGATCTGAAAAACTCTGTGTTTAACCTAGGGTCTGACTTTTATTGATGGATAATCATTTGATTTCTCTGAGTTTAAATCCTTAGCTGTGGGGCGCCTGGGTGGCTCAGTAGGTTAAGCATCTGACTTCAGCTCAGGTCGGTCATGATCTCGCAGTTCGTGTGTTTGAGGCCACATAGGGCTCTATGCTGACAGCTCAGAGCCTGGAGCCTGCTTCAGATTCCATGTCTCCCTCTCTCTCTGACCCTCCCCTGTTCACGCTGTCTATCTCTCTCTTTCCTAGAAATAAATAAAAATTAAAAAATAATTAAAAAAAAGAAAAAAGAAATACAAACTTGAAAAAAGTACTGTCATAGAAGGGAGACCCTTAGTATTCATTAAAAATGTCTGACTATATCATTTGACAGTGAGATGTAAAAAATAAGTGGTCGGGTCTATTTTCTACTCATTCAGTACTACTATTTGTTGCTGGCAAGTATGATACTTTTTATGGAATACTTGCCCCCCTCCAAACCACACTAAGTAGCTAGGGGATACAGTCCAAAAATAATTGTGAAAGAATTGCTATAAGTGCTATAAACATGTAAGTATGTTGAATTTAGTACATAGATTCTCTTGGTCTTGGGTTGTCAGAGGTGACTTTCTAGAGGAAGAAATCCCTTTAGGTGAACTTGAATGAGTGAAAATTAGCCAGATAAAGAGAAGAGGGTCTCCATGAATAGGAAATATCATATGGAAAATAATAGAGATAAACATACGCAGTAGATGGGAAGCTGAAAGCTACCGTATGGCTGACACATGGAGTGCAAAGGGTGTGCTGCAAGAGAATATTAGAACAGGAAAGGCAAGAGAAGTGGTTTCAGAGTTTAGATTTCACCTAAAAGTTCATAGGGAGTCTTTGAAAGGTTTAAGCATTTGTATTAATCAAAATTTGTATTTCAGAAGATCCTCTGCCTGCATTTTACCATATTCTGCCAGAAATATAGTGCCAGTAATTACACACATGCATATATATAAGTGTTTATATATATGCATATAGGTACAAGGAAGAGTCTAAAAGATTTGGTGAGTATATTAATTAAGGTACAGGGCAACCTGTGGTGCAAAGGAAACTAACAAAACAACAAAACCAGTAGCTTATATATGACCGAAGTTTATTTCTAACAGTTTGGAGGGAGATGGGTGGTCCAGGATTCCATTCTCAATCAATACTGGTTTCCATTTGTAGTCCAGTGCAGTTATTACAGTTTTCCATTTCCAGCCAGCAGGGAGAGGGAAAGGGTTCAGGAGAATAGAATGATGCCTAGCTGCTTGAATGGCAAGACCTGGAAGTGACACACATCACTTCTGTTCACAACCCATTGGCCAGTACTTATTAACAGAGAGAAATAAAAAGTTAGGTGGCTGTGTATCCCCCTAAAATTCTGTAACAGTGAAAGTGGGGTGAGTAAATATATCGGATAACAACTAGCAGAATGCTACGGGTTATGAAGTATGGGCCCAGAGAGAGAGGTCAGGTTTTTGAGTCTGGACAACCGGACCATTCTCTGCTCCGAGGCTGAATAGCCTATGAGCCATCCATATGGAGATGTCTTATAGGTTTGGAATCTGGGGAAAATGTTTTGGCTTGAGATCATCCATGAAGAGATAATAATTGAGGACAAGAACACTGAGGAGCAACATCACGCAGACCGATGGTCAGATACTAAGGAGGAACTACTGTCAAAGATGTAAAAGGAAAATCAGTATACTGTAGTGTTATAAAAACCAAGGGAGGGAAGTACCTCAAGAAAAAGGGAGCTATTAAGAGAGTTAAACACCACAGGGAGATGAAAGTGAAGGAAGAGAAGATCAAGGCTGAAAAGTGTGTTAGGTTCCCAAAAAAAAGCAGTTGATTACTCAGTCTAGCACTCTTTCACTAAAGGTGTAAGAACTATGACCAGATTGCAAGACTGTTGAGGAGTAGGCAGTGATCCAGTATGGACAAAACTTTCTCTACGTGTGGCTGGCATGGAGATGAAAGAGAATTGCTATGGGTAGTGGAGCAGAGGGGTTTTTGTTTTGCTATGTTCCTTTTCTAGTTTTTCAAGGTAGAAGTGATTTAAGCATTTTTGTATTTTTTTTAAATGTTTGTTTATTTTTGAGAGAGAGAACATGGGCGAGGGAGAGGTAGAGAGAGAGGGAGACACAGAATCTGAAGCAGGCTCCAGGCTCTAAATTGTCAGCACAGATCCAACATGGGGCTCAAACTCATGGACCAAAAGATCATGGCCTGAGCCTAAATCAGACGCTTAAGCGACAGAGCCACCCAGACGCCCCAATTTAAACATTTTAAAATACTGATGAGAAGATAGATGCCAAGTATAGAAGCTGAATTTAAAGACATAAAAGGAGAAGTGAGTGTGGGAGTGATTATTCTAAGAAAGTGAAAAAGGCAGGACTTAGAGGACATGGTTTGGAAGGACAGCTCTTCCACAATTACAGAGAAGAACTGCATTCTGAAAGCTTGATGGCAGGATGTGGAGAAGGTTTTGGTCTGACAGTACCCAACTTCTTGAATGGAAGCAAGCTGATCTTCTGGGTGTGGTGATTTAAGAAGGCGAGGAGAGTAGGAAGGGTCTAAAATAGGGTGGGAAATGAAAAGAACTGCAGTCGGGGAAAGCAAAAGATTTCTGGTAAGCATCAATGCCCAGTAAAGAGCCAGATGACAACTTAGACCTCATAGCAGATACATGGTGCCAGAAATGTGTTCACTGTAAAAGCTGAAGGAAGAGTCCTATGTTTGTCTTCTACAAATTCCCTCAGCACGGGGCACAGATTTCTCTCACAGCAGTGATATAAGTCTGTGGCATAACATGAGCTGTCAGTCCTGTCCTTAAAATCTAATATAGCTCAGTATTTTTCCCTGAGGACAATTTTCACATCTTATTTACACTTTAAGAAAAATCAGCTGCATTCTATACACTAATAATAAACTATGAGAAAAAGAAATTAAGAAAAAAATCTCATTTAAAGGGCACCTGGGTGGTTTAGTCAGTTAAGTGTCCTACTCTTGATTTCGGCTCAGGTCATGATCTCACAGTTCGTGGGTTCAAGCCCCATGTCAGTTTCCCCAATGAGCATGAGCTTGCTTGGGATTTTCTCATTCTCCCTCTCTTTCTGCCCTTCCCCTGCTTACACACACACACTCTCTGTCTCTCTCAATAAAATAGAATAAAATCCCATTTACAACTTCATAAAAAGAATAAAATACTTGTAGATAAATTTAACCAAGGAGATGAAAGATCTATATGCTGAAACTATCAGACATTGATGAAGAAATGAAATGAAGAAAGAAATTGAAGAAGGCATAAAGAAACGGAAAGATCTTCCATGCTTGTGGATTGAATTAATATTGTTAAAATTACCCAAAGAATCTATAGATTCAATGCAACCCTGATCAAAATTCCAATGGCATTTTTCACAGAAAAAGAAAAAAAATCCTAAAATTTGTATGGAACCACAAAAGATCCTGAATAGTCAAGGCAATCTTGAGAAAGAAGAACAAAGCTGGAGGCATCACACTTCCTGATTTCAAACAATATTACAAAGCTATAGTGACCAAAACAGTATGGTACTGGCATAAACACAGAAACAGAGATCAATGAAAGAGAACAGAATGCCCAGAAATAAACCCACACATATATATGGTCAATTAATTTACCACGAAGGAGCCAAGAACATACAATGGGGAAAGGACAGTTTCTTCAATAACTAGTATTGGGAAAACTGGACAGCCACAAAAGAAAAATGCAAGAAAGAAAACGGACCACTATCTTATACTACACACACATACAAATAAAAATGGATTAAAGACATGACACCATAAAAACAAATGAACACAGAACAATTTTCTGTATTAACTCATCATAAGTGTTCACACTCTGGTATACCTTTTCTGTTTTTGAATAAGATATGAGTTTTAACAAGCCACCATCATCATTCATTGGCAATATCTCCAATATGAATATTTTGGGACAGATTAAGATAAGCTTCTTGGCTGAACACCATTTGGGATCCTGAAGTAGCTTACAGAAGAAAGAGGAAGTTCTAGTGCACAGAGTATTAAAACACTTTATTGACCTCTTAATGTTTGGAATAAATGATTGACCCAAGGCTATGGATGTCTCTCTAGCCTAGACTGCAAAGAATACTTTTAAAAATGCAGATTTGAAGACCACAAGTATATTTGTTAATCCACTTCCCATTGCAGTTAATAACCCTCCTCCAATTCTAGGCCCCACTCAGCACCAGCCAAGGACATTATCAAGGATGTAGTAATTTTCTATCACTGTGGTCTCTGCCATTAATTCAGAGAGTTCGGTCCTTAGAAGTATAGTCTTCCTATATTCTTGTGAGCTTGTGGTTTCTCATGACCTTCTTATAAGGACTGAAGTTTGAGTTTTATTAAATATCAACTCCAAGGGCATTGCTTGGCTCCTCCCAACTTCAATAAATCAGGTGAACATATGGATGCCATAGGTCCCATTAAGGAAGTAGAAATGATGATGGCAACGGTATCAGAATCACAACAGACAGACTTATATGGTGATACATTTAAACTCCAAACCCTTATGGCTTCATTTGGGAGCCTAGAAAAGCTCCTCAAACAGATTTCTGTCCAATAAAAGATTTTCTCTCTAATATAATTCTATCACATCAATTAAAGAATAATCCCTGACAAACATTTTCTTGCATTTGCTATATTCACAGGACTCCCTCCAGTAAATTCATTGATGTAGGTAATCCTGGGTTTCTTCCTGTTATAGGACTTCTCTTGAGTATGAAGTTTTTGGTGTTTTTTAAGGTTTGAACTCCTGTTGAAGGTCTTCTCACATTCCTTACATTTGAATGGCTTCTCTCCTGTATGAATCATTTGATGTCGAATAAGGGAGGAGCTCCGGCTGAAGGATTTTCCACAGTTAACACATTCATAGGGATTATCTCCAGAATAAAGTCTTGAATTTTTATTATGGTTTTTACTCTCACTGAAAGCTCTTCCACATTTATTGCCTTCACAGACCTTTGCTTCAGTATGAATCTTTTGATGCTTAGTAAGGTTTGTACGTCTGTTGAAGAATTTCCCACACTCACTACATTTATAGGGTTTCTCTCCTGTGTGAATGATCTGATGTCGAATGACAGATGAACTCCGGCTGAATGCTTTCCCACAGTGATAGCATTCATAGGAATTCACTAAGGTCTGACTTTCTGGGTGCTTAATGTCTACACTCAGGCTCAAGGCATTCCCACATTCATTATATTCTGAATGTTGCTTATCTACTGAATCTAAATTAAATTTGAAGTTAGTTTTAAACTTACCACATTTTGAGAACCCCTTTTTCATAGGAATTCTCTGTTGTATATCAAAAATTGAATTAACTGACTTAACATCTAAGTTTTCCTTATTCTCACTATCTTTGAAGTTTCCCTCCTCAGTGTCAACAGTCTTATGAATAATAGCTTCTTCTGGCAAACTTATGTCCCAATGTTCCTGGTTCCTGTTTAGCCAATCATCAGTCATCCAAGCATCTAAGAAAAGGGGTCCACTTTTGGTCAGCCTTCTCATAATCACTCCATGAGATGATTCTTCTCCAGAAATTCTCTCCTTTGTAACTGAATCTTGGTTTTCTGAAATTACCTCTTTGTCTAAAAAGAAATTAAAAATTCCATGAGCTAGAAGAAAGGAAATTGTTTAATTAGGAAAGGGATGCTAAACCACATAAGGAAATATGCAGATTTTATGGGTCTTAAATACAAAATGGAAATGTGAGGTGAGATCAGAAAAGGAAAAACATAGGAAAAATAAAATGGAACAAAAGTATTAAAAGGGGCACCAGGAGATCATAAAATATGAGAAGAGCTATTCAGGTATATTAATGAGAATACATAGGGCTTAGATAAAATATCAGCATATGAACTGGGATACAGTGGCATTTCATAGTTCACATTGTAACTGGTTCATAACTAGTCTGTGTGGATTACGCCTAATCATCCTTTCTCTAGCATCTTGTCTTTGTCCCCTTTAACCCATGCTGTTCAGCAATACTAAATACACCCTACTAAAATACCAATTTAATCATACCTTTAAAAACACATCTACATTTACAGGCTCCACACCTTAACCAGTTACAACAAACTTGCAATCAATGTCTCTAATTCTATCCAAGTTGCAATTATTCCCCACATTTAACAAAAGCAGAAAAGAATTACTATAATCAAAGGTAGCAGAAAAACCACCCTTTTCTTGGGCTCAAAATCATTCCTGATTCTAACAGTGCTATGGTATTTTTCTGGGTATTTCCTAGAACTCAAAACTTTACCTGTTCTGGTTAAGATTCAATTCTCTTGTTTTCACCTGTCTTCAGTTTGTTTCATTTAATAATATACCACTTCCCTTCTCAAAATTCCTTTCTCACTTAGCTTCTGTATAAATACTGTATATTCTAGCAACTTTTTAAAAACTAAATTTCACTGACTTCTCTTTATCCTTTTACATATAACTTCAGGTTTACCTAATGCATTTACTTCCACACTTTACTGGTAGCCAAAACACATCTTCAGCTTTGTAGTCTCACATATACTATTGACCCCTGTTTTTACCCATCTCCAAGACAATGCCACTCAACTATCCTACTACTCTCTTCCAACTCAACAAATTAACCTGAGAATTTCATCTTTCATGTGGAAAGAACTTCCGTCAATGTCCTCATTTGTTTAGTGAGTCACTGTCCTAATATTTACACTAATGTCCACAAAGAGATCTTGAATAACCATTGGTCTTTATTTTTCATATCTAATCTGCCCTGAGGTACTATTATTTTATGAAATGACATTTACCTCAAGGCAGCCCCAACCTATATATCCAACTTTGTCAAATACCTATTAATTCTGCCTGGTTTAGTCTAATTTCTAGAAGAAATAGTCTGTATAATACTAACACTGGAAACTAGACTATAAAGTCAGAATCTCTTAGGATGGAGCCTAGGAATATAATGAGAGTATCAATTGTAGTTTCCCTGTTTCTGTCGCACCACTTTTTAAGGGGTGTGTGGGCAGAAAATCTGTAATTTAACTCATAGGTCTTCAGTGAGAGAGGAAACTCTTCTAAACCTGGACCTAATTTAGATGGTAAGATCCTGGACTTCAAGCTTGATACCATAATGAGGTCTCAGGAGAGAGTAAATGTATATAATAATGGGGAAAAAATTAAAATAATTTGTGGCCAAAGGACAGATTATAGATCAAAATGGCTGCACATTCATAAAAACCCACAGCTAACATCATTCTCAAAGGGGGAAAACTTAGAAGCTTTCCCCTGAGATCAGGAACAACACAAGGATGTGTACTCTCACCACTTTCATTCAGAATAGTACTGGAAGTCCTAGCTGCAGCAATCAGACAAGAAAAAGAAATAAGGGGCATTCACTCTAGTAAATAAGAAGTAAAACTCTCACTATTTGCAGATGACATGATATTACATATGGAAAACCCAAAAGACTCCACTAAAAAACTACCAGAACTGATAAATTAATTTAGTGCAGTTGCAGGATGCAAAATTAATATATAGAAGTCTGTTGCATTTCTAGACTCTAAAATGCAGTAGTAGAGAAATTAAGGAAACAATCACATTTACAACTGCACTAAAAATAAAATACATAGGAATAAATTTAACCAAAAAGGTAAAAAACCGGTACTCTGAAATCTACTAAACACTGATGAAAGAAATTGAAGTTGACACAAAGAAATGGGAAGATATTTCATGTTCATGGATTGGGAGAACCAATATTATTAAAATTCCCATATTATCCAAAGCAACTTATAGATTTAATGCAATCCCTATCAAAATATCAATAGCATTTTTCACAAAACTAGAACAAAGAATCCTAAAATTTGTATGGAACCACAAAAGACCCTGAATAGTCAAACCAACCTTGAAAAAGAACAAAACTGGAGTATCATAATCCCAGATTTCAAGATATACTACACAAAGCTGTAGTAATAAAAACAGAATGGTACTGGCATAAAAAACAGACATATAGATCAATGGAATGGAAGAGAAAGCCAGAAATAAATCAATGACTTTATGATCAATTAATCTACAACAAAGGAGGCAAGAATATCCAATGGGAAAAAGACAGTCTCTCCAACAAACGGTATTGGGCAAACTGGACAGCTACATGCAAAACAATGAAACTGGACCATTTTCTTATACTACACACAAAAATAAAGTCTAAAAAGGATTAAAGGGGTGCCTAGGTGGCTCAGTTTGGTTAAGGGCCTGACTTTCAGCTCAGGTCATGACGTCGTGGTTCATGAATTCAAGCCCCGCTTTGGACTCTGTGCTGACAGCTTGGAGCCTGGAGCCTGCTTCACATTCTCTGTCTCCTTCTTTCTCTGGCCCTCCTCCACTTGTTCTCTGAGTCTGCTCTCTCTCAATAATAAAAAGACATTTTAAAAAAAGGATTAAAGACCTAAATGTGAGACCTGAACCATAAAATTCCTAGAAGAAAATATAGGCAGTAATTTCTTTTACACTGACCATAGCAACATTTTTCTAGATATGTCTCCTTTAGCAAGGAAAACAAAATTAAACTCTTGAGACTACACCAAAGAATCTTTTGCACAGTGAAGGAAACCATCAACAAAACTAAAGTATAACCCACTGAGTGGGAAAAATTCTTACATATAAAATTAACAGATATAAAGCACTGGGGGGAAGATTTGTGATAACATAAATTTTTAAAATATGTATGGTAGACACCATAAATAAAATAATTTAAAAACTTGCAAGATCTCATTTGCTGTAACTGTGATCCACAGTGAGAATTTACATAAAATTTACTATGTATTATTAAAAACTTCTAAATTCTTGAAAATGGACATAAAACCATTTGCTGAATCACAAAAATAACAAATATTTTTAGCTTTTTCATAATCCAATATATATCTATCTATCCATTTTTTTCCCCTTTGGTTCCTATATATGTGCAAATGCTTGAGATCTAAAGGTAGGATAAAAGGAGACATGGTCCCTACCCTCAAGGAACATAAAGCCTAATGTGGGAGACAAAGACTTACACAAATACAAGTAAAACATAATTGTGACAAATGCTAAAATGAGAAGATTATGATGCTATGGGAGTATCTAACAGAAAAAACTAACTAATAAGACAGGCTTCCCTGAGGAAATGTGAAAGTATTTGAGATCTGCGAGAAGACTCGGAGTCAACTAGGCAAAGAAAAGGAGAATGAGCATTTTATGTAATGAAGCCACACGGACAGAGGCCCTGAGATGGAGAGGGCAAGTCCCACTTAGGGGGTGTGTCCTACGGAACTGTCTTTTCCGTGCGGTCCTCTAATACTTATCGGAGTACTCAGGACACAGTACATGCTAATACACGTGTGTTGCTGACTGAAAGCAGATCAGTGTGGTCTAAGTTCAAAGAGTGAGGGGAGGATTCAGTGTGCAGCGAGGCTGGAGAAGTAGGTAGGGACTAGCATGTTAGTAAGTAAGCAAAACTGCAATCAGCGTAGTGATTTAAGCAAATACTTGATGGAATTTGATCTCAAAGAGATCAAAGACTGCAATGTGGCTCAAACACTGGAGCTGGGGGGAAAGAGCGAAGAGGCATGGCAAGATCTTTCAGTATGATGAATTAAGAGACTGGGGATGGTTGAGATGAGAGATGATGGACTACATAGACTAGCGTAGTGGCACTATGGATAGAAAGAAGGGGAGACATTCAAGGGATATTTAGAAAGATAAAAAAAAAAAAAAAAACACCAAGAGGTGAAGGAGAAGTTGGTTCAAGGATAATACTCTATACTTGTGTAACTGGATGGATGGCAGTGCTGTTCACTCAGGGAACAACAGAAAAAGATTGGAAAGGAAACTTTGGTTTTATGGGACTGAAGTTATCTTTAAGACATCCAAGAGAAATGTCATGTGTACATAAATTTTTCAGTTCAGAAAAGAAGCCTGGGCTGGGGATACAAATTTGTAAGTCACCTAGACATGTGTGGTAAGTGAAGCTGCAGTTGTGGATGTAATAACCTATAAAAGAAAATACAGAGTAAGAAAATAAGACAAAATAGGAACAAATCTTGAGAAAAGCTGGAATTTATTAGAGAGCTAGAAAAAGATAAATCTGTAATAGAGAATAACCAAAAAGAAAGGAGGAAAATCAGAAGTATTCTAAGAACCTATGAGTGTTTTAAGAATGAAGAGGAGATAATAGCGTCACTTGCTATGGAGAAGTCAGTGAAGCAAGGAACGAAAACATATCCAATGGATTTAGCTGCAAGAAAGTCATCTATGTCCTAAGTAAGAACTGTTTCAGATGGATATTTGGAATAAGAGACAAAAAAATGGACTGAGGAGTAAAAAGTGAGGAAATGAGAAAAGTATAAAATATCTTGAGAAGTTTGGCTATAAAGAGGTGAGTAATAGGTTAAAAGAACAATTTTTTAAAAATCAGTAATGACATGAAAATGGTAAAAAGCTACGTGGTAATAAGCAAATCAGAGGACTCTAGATGCTGGTGAGGATGTGGAGAAAAGGGCACCCTCCCACACTGTTGGTGGGAATGTAAACTGGTGCAGCCCCTCTGGAAAACAGTGTGGAGGTTCCTCAAAAAATTAACAATAGAACTCCCCTATGACCCAGCAATAGCACTGCTAGGAATTTACCCAAGGCATACAGGAGTGCTGATGCATAGGGGCACATGTACCCCAATGTTCACAGCAGCACTCTCAACAATACCCAAAACATGGAAAGAGCCTAAGTGTCCATCAACTGATGAATGGATCAAGAAGATGTGGTTTATCTATATGATGGAATACTATATGGCAATGAGAAAAAAGGAAATCTGGCCATGTGTAGCCACATGGATGGAACTTGAGGGTGTTATGCTGAGCAAAATAAGGCAGAGAAGGACAGATACCATATGTTTGCAAGTACAGGAGGATTAGGAGGAACTTAATGGAGGACCATGGGGGAGAAGAAGGGGGAAAATAGTGGGGAGAGGGAGAGAGGCAAACCATGAGAGACTCTTGAATGCTGAGAACAAACTGAGGACTGAGGGAAGTGGGAGGGAGGGGAAGGGGGGTGATGGGCATGGAGGAGGGCACTTGTGGGGATGAGCACTGGGTATTATATGGAAACCACCTTGACAATAAACTATTAAAAAAAAAAAAAGCTCAATGGAGACGGGTGCCTGGGTGGCTCTGTCGGTTGAGCGTGTGACTCTTGATTTTGGCTCAGGTCATAATCCCAGGGTCTTGGGATCGAGCCCCATGTCGGCCCTGTGCTGAGCAGGGAGACTGCTTAAGATTCTCTCTCTATCCCTATGCCTCTCTCCATAACTGCCAAATAAAAAACTCTCTAAAATAAAAATTTTTTAAATTATAAAAACCACAAAAATAAATTTTAAAAAAAGCTAATGGGAAGACTAGCTAATGAGAGGCATAAATGGTGAAAATATAAGTGAAAGAAGGCAGGGCAAAATGGGCTCCAAAGGAAAATGGGGGGGGTAGGGGAATTTACCTTAGAAAGGACGAAATTGAGTAATCTGCCTATCAAATTAATAAAGATTTCAGGTAAACAATAGTGTACTAGGGTGATAATAAATAGATAATACATTAGAGTACGAATTGGTATAACCTTTCTGTAGAAAATACAGCATAAAGTAACAAGACCTTTAAATATATCCATGTGCTTTGATGCTGAAGTTTGTCTTCTAATAAGGCATATCCTCCGGAACTTATCAGACACGCCTGAAAACTAGGGAACAACCTGAATGTCCAATGGCTGGGGGAATAGTTAAATATTTTATGATACTTGTATATGATGGACCATTACATGTGAATTAGAAGCCCCATTTCCACAGACTATTTAGTTATACACGTAATTGCCTTGGTATCATATTAAGTGAGAAGAACAGAATAGAAAATGACATATTCCTGATGACCCCCAATTTTTAAAAAATATTTATTTATTTATTTTTGAGACAGAGACAGAGAATGAGCAGGGGAAGAAGGGCAGAGACAGAGGGAGAGACAGAATCTGAAACAGGCTCCAGGCTCTGAGCTGTCAGCACAGAGCCCGATGTGGGGCTTGAACCCACAAACGGTGAGATCATGACCTGAGCCAAAGTCAGACGCTTAACTGACTGAGCCATACAGGCACCCCCTGATGATCCCAATTTTGGAAATAAAGAAATCTTCACAAGACATAGAGACACATCATCACAAAGAAAAAAGCCTAATAAGTCAAAAAAGTGTTAATACTGCATACCTCCGGGTAATGAGGTCATGAGGTGAGTTCTATTCTTCTTCATACTTTTCTATATGCACTAAAATTTATCATAAGCACACAATAACTCCCACAAATAAAATGTTAATAAGAATAAAGAGATTCTGACCAAGGTAAAAAGTTAGGGCACAAAAAGTTCTATAGTAAAAGAAGTATAATTGGAAGATTACTAAAGTCACTCAAACAGAGCTTTTTGTTTTCTTTGAAATACTACTTAATGTTAGGTTGTCTAATGTTTGTTTGTATGGCACTTCCTACGCACCAGGCACTGCTCCAAGTGTGCCACACATATCAATTCATGCAGTCCTCACAGGAAAGTGGAGGTAAATACTGTTATTAACTCGATGTTACAGAGGAGGAAACTGGCAGATAGATAGGTTGCTCCAGGCCACAGAGCTTTGCGTTAAGTTTCTGTGTTCCTCACAGTGTCTGTGTTCCTTTGATTATCCACTTAAGAAAAAGAACCTGTGAATCAAAAGCAATGATGACTTTTTTCCTTCAAAGCTTCTGAGGTTTTATTGTCACCTCTCAACTCTTAACTCAAAGGCTATTAACCTCACTGTGTTTAACAAACAGAAGCTTCTTACAAATTCCTCGTATCTGCCTGGTTCTTACCAAAAACAGATGTGCTTGGGATTTCTTGCTCTATTATCCATCTTCTGTCCTTACTTTCCAACTCGGAGAGCTCAACTGGTTTGGAAAATAGATGTTCTTCTCATGGGGAAGATGAAAAAACAAGAACAAACAAATGTGACACTTCAGACATTTTTACAGGGGAAGAGAATTTCATCCCTATTTAGTAGTCTAAGAGCTGCTGAAAGATAAGGCCAGGGATCACCACAGACTTGTGTGTTTCTAGCTCTATATCAGAAAGGACTTTCACTCAGATACAACAGGAACATCTGCTATTGTGACCGTAGGACATTAGTAAACCTGAACCCAAACCCAAGTGCCCTTAACCACTGCAGTGGTCCTATAGCTTTTAGCGGTGGATGAAGAAACTACTGATGGGCAGAGTAGGTAATTACATAGAAGCCACCTTGATGCAGTGAACTCAGGTTCCTATAGTTCTCCAGCATCACGTCCCTGTACACGTTCTTTACAGCAGGGTCCAGTTGTCCCCACTCTTCCTCGCTGAATTCCACAATCACATCTTTGAATGATATTGGTTCCTAAAACATTAAGTTTCTTTTTAATCAGAGGTCAGTCCCAAAAATATTGCTAGAGGAGAAATGAATTTGGAAAGAACAGCATAGGTGCCTAGAATACATAAGAAATTGATGACAATGTTTAGGGTTCTAAGTTTTGACAAGCAGGTTATATTAGAGGCCATCAACTTGGTATTCTGTGAGGGCTGCAAAAGGAAAATCAAGAGCAGTCTTAACCTGAAATTAACTTTCATTTTGGTTGAGGAGAAAAAGACAGTAGGAATGACGATGGAACAAAAAACTACTATAGAGTAAAAATGCTTGACACAAAAGAGAGTTCAGAAGGAGAGCTGCAGATAGCTCTGTGGGATTTTGTAGTGAAGATGGAGGCTCTGCTAGCAGAAGAGGTAGGACATTTCCTCTAGAGAAATACAGCCTGCTAACTCCTTACCATTCAGGTCTCCCAGCCCAGTCCTTTGCTGATTACCCAAAGTAGCTACCCTCCTAATCTCTCTCTACTGCATTACGCTTCTTTCTTTTCTCTGTAATAGTTATTACTATCTGCAATTATCTTATTTGCTTGTGTTTGCCTGTCTACCTCTGCTATTGTTTCCACAAAGGCAGGGATTTCCTTTCATTACCATCACATTCCCAGTCCTTGGACAAGTGGCATGTTAGGCACTGTGTCAATATTAGTTACAAGGGCCTTCACACCATCAATTGCTGCAATTCCTTCTCCAGCATTCTCAACCCTGTTTGGACAGGCACCCTCAATCGCAATGAGATACACAAATCTCTTCCCTCCCTCTACCTCAGAGCCAGATGACTCTAAGACATCAGAGGACTTCGTGAGTAATTATCTAGGTTAGTTTTGCCTACTTTCTCACCTTCTTTCCTCAATCCTCCGCTTCTATTTCCATGCATGGTAGTACCTCCGTGATGGTAAGTGAACAGGCACTACTCAGGCTGAATTTTCCTGAATTTTCAAAGGATTTATCCTTGAAATAGTCTCATCCTTGGCTTTCATTGACATCATTATCTTGGTTTTTCTCTACCACTGTGGTCCTTTCATCTCAGTATCCTTTGAGGTTTCTTCTGCTCCTGCCTATTATATGACATTACTCAGCATTAAGCCCTTGGCTCTCTTCACTTTCCATTCTAAACATTCTCTGGGTAGGCTCTACTTCTCTGGTTTAAATTATCATCTACAATCCTGAGGGAACACACACACAGAAAAATAGAAAGACTAGATCCAAAGAGCAAATCACCAATGAAAATAAAATAGATCCAATGTCCTATGGGAGAAGTAAGTCTTATGTCCTTAGGTGGACCTATGTTTGGCAAAAGTTCAAAAACCAAAATGAAAATGCAGGTCATTTCAGTAAAGAGCGGAATGCTAATTCACCTGGGAATTGCCTGTCAGCGAGTCAGCTTCCACTTTCTCCTTGATGCTCCCCTTTTGGAGCAGGATAGAATCCTTGCAGGGTGTCTCTGAGGAAGATGAAGGAAAACATTATGGAGACAAGATTTCCCCTGGAGAAACACTTATTGATTTACAGTAGTAGTTTTAACATGCTATTCATAAAAATCATCTTTAGAACTTTGGAAAAATAATGATATCAGGCACTATAAGCAATCAGACTCTCTAAAGGTAGGGTTCTATTTTTTATTTTTCAAATGTATTTTATTTTTCAAAGTTTATTTACTTTTTTGAGAGAAAGAGAGAGCAAGCGAGCAGGGGAGAGGCAGAGAGCGAGGGGGAGAGAATCCCAAGTAGGATCTGCACTGTCAGCGTGGAGCCTGGTGCAGGGCTTGATCTCACAAACTCTGAAAATCAAAAGTTAAAAGCAAAATCAAAAGTCAGACACTTAACTGACTGAGCCACCCAGGCACCCCTAAAATTATTTTTTAATGAAAAAAATTGACAAGTAACCCAGTCCCAGGGATCCCAAGGGCTGCTGACAGGCTCTGCAAGCCTCTCTGGGCACTTGGAGGGTTGTAGGTGTGAGTTCTGAACTATTCGTCTTCCATCTGACCTGTGGAGACTGGAGTGGACAGTTGTAAATAAATGCCTCATGGCTTCAGCTATGAAATCTTTTAAAAAGTCCCATGTAAGTGGACTCATGCATTTCAAACCTGTGCTGTTCAAGGATCAACAGCATAAGAACACATCAACTGACAGTAAAGATAGCTTTACTTCTTCTTTTCCAATTAGGATGTCTTTTATTTCTTTTTCTTGTTTAGCTTCACTGACTAGTGTCTCCAGTATAATGTTGAACAGAAGTAGCAGGAGTGGGCATCCTTGCCTTCTTCCTTATCCCAAGGGCAAAACTTTAAGTCTTTAACCATTAAGTGTGATGTTTGCTGTAGTTTTTCATAGATGTCCTTTATCAGGTAGAAGGAATTCCCTTGTATCCCTAGTTTGTTGAATGCTTTTATCACGAGAAGGCATTGGATTTTGGCAAATGCTTTTTCTGTATCGAGATGATCTTGTGAGTTTTCCCCTTAATTTTATATATATATATATTGGTTTCAGGAGAATTTAAAGATTCATCACTTGCATATAACACCCAGTGCTCATCACAAGTGCCCTCCTTAATGCCCATCACCCATTTAGCCCATTCCCCTACACTCCCCCCCACCCCCCACTGACTCAGCAATCCTCAGTTTCTTCTCTATAGGTAAGAGTCTCTTATGGTATGCCTCCCTCTGTTTTTATCTTTTTTTTTCCTTCCCTTCTCTTACGTTCATCTGTTTTGTTTCTTAAATGTTTCACATGAGTAAAATTATATGGTATTTGTCTTTCTCTGACTGACTTATTTCACTCAGTATAATACTCTATTTCTATTCACGTCGTTGCAAATGGCAAGATTTCATCCTTTCTGATGGCTGAATAATTTTCTATTGTGTATGTGTGTGTGTGTATAAAAGTGGTATGTGTGTGTATATATACTTATATTTACACACACACACCACCTCTTCTTTATCCACTCATCAGTCCATGGACATTTAGGCTCTTTCCATTAATTTGTCTATTGTTGATTGTACTGCTATAAACATTGGGCTGCATGTGCACCTTCGAATCAGCTTTTTTTTATCCTTTGGAAAAATACTTAATAGTGCAATTGCTTCCCCTTAGTTCTATTAGTATGGTCTGTAATGTTGATTTTCATATGTTGAACCAACCTATATTCCTAGGATAAATACCATTTGGTCATGGTGTATAATCCTCATAATATGATGCTGGATTTGCTTTGCTAGTTTTGTGATGTCTTTGTCTTTGGCATCAGGTTAAACTCATCATAGAATAAGGTAGGAAGTGTCCCCTCCTTCCCTATTTTTTCAAAAAGTGTGAGAAACGGGTTCTGTGCTGACAGGTCAGAGCCTGGAGCCTGCTTCAGATTCTGTGTCTCCCTCTCTCTCTGCCCCTCCCCTGCTCACACTCTGTCTCTGTCTCAAAAATAAATACACATTAAAAAAAATTTTTTTTTAAAGTGTGAGAGGGGTGCCTGGGTGGCTTAGTCGGTTAAGCGTCCGACTTTCGTTTAGGTCGTGATCTCGCGGTTCGTGGGTTCAAGCCCCGCGTCAGGCTCTGCGCTGACTGCCAGCCCAGAGCCTGGAGACTGTTTCGGAGTCTGTGACTCCCTCTCTCTCTGACCCTCCCCTGCTCATGCTGTCTCTCTCTCTCTCCTAGAAATAAATAAAAAACGTTAAAAAAATTTTAAAAAATAAAAAATAAAAAAAAAATCTAAAGTGTGAGAAACATTGGTGTTAATTCCTTAAATGTTTGATAGAATTCACCAGTGAAGCGATCTAGTCCTTGGGTTTTCTTTGTTGAAATTTTTTTGATTACCAATTCTAACTTTTTTGTTGTCAGTTATTCAGATTTTCTATTTCCTCGAGTCAGTTTTGGCAGTTTGTGTGCTTTTGGAATTTTTCTACTTAATCTAAATTAAAAATTTTTTGGTATACAATTGTTCATAGTATTCTCTTATAATTCTTTTGATTTATGCAAGATCAGTAGAGATGTGCTTATTTTTATCGCTGATTTTAGTTACTTCACTCTTTTGTAGAGCTAAGTCTGTCAATTTTGCTGTTCTTTTCAAATGACCCACTTTTGGTTTCATTGGTTTTACTGTTTTTCTATTCTCTATTTCATTTATCTCTGTTTAATCTTTCTTATTTTAATTTCTACATACTTGTGAATTTTCCAGATATCCTTCTGTTACTGATTTCTAATTTCATTCTATTGTGGTCAGAAAAGATACTTTGTAGGATTTAAATGTTTAAATTAATTGTGACTAGTTTTGGCCTAACATGTGGTCTATCTTGGAGAATGTTCCACGTGCACTTGAGAAGAATGTACATGCTGCCATTGTTGGGTAAAGTGCCACTGTTAGGTCTACTTCAGTTTATAGCATTGTTCAAGTCTTCTACTTCCTTGTTTGTCTTTTTTCTAATTGTTCTATCCACTAATGAAAGTGGGGTACTGAATTCTCCAACTATTATTCTTGATCTCTTTCTTCCTGTCAGTTTTTGCTTCACATATTTGGGGGCCTGACTGCTGCAGTTCTTGCTCACTTGCTTTTCTGAACTGATTTGTAAAGTCTATATTCTTTATTGTGTGTGCCCACTTAAGTCTGTTCCCTTAGCTTAGTGGTCAGCTAGTGATTCCACAGAGATTTCCTTACATACTTGGAACCAACAAAACAAAACAAAACCAAAAACCATTTCCTAGTCTTTGCAGATGCACTGCATGTGTTGAGGCATGCATTCAGAACTTAGCCAGGTAATTTTTTTCAACTTTACTTTCATCTTTAGTTCCTGCTTATGCAAAGCCTGAAGGTCAGCCAGAAGTGAGAAGTAAGGCCATATCAGGTGTTTCTGACCATGTGCCCAGCCTTTTAAATCTCTAGGGATACATAGGAACTTTTTAAATCCTTTACTCCCCAAAGCATCTCATAGCCCAGACTTTCCCATTAAATCCTTTGACAAATGTCCTCTAGGTGACCACCTAAGCGCTGGGACAGTTCTGACTCAGATAAAATAAGGGCAAGCCCTTTGGGTGGGTTCTTCAGAGAGCCAAGACAGGTTAAAATAAACAAAAAACCATTCTCAGTCATCTATTATCCAGCAACCTCTCCCTTCCTTTTCAACTAAACTTCAAGAATTGTCTAGGGGTGCCTGGGTGGCTCAGTTGGTTGAGTGAATGACTTTGGCTCAGGTCATGATCTTGGAGTTCATGAGTTTGAGCCTGGCATCAGGCTCTGTGCTGAAAGCCTGGAGCATGCTTTGGATTCTGCGTCTCTGTCTATCTCTGTCCCTCCCCCACTCATGCTCCCTCTTTCTCACAAAAATAAATAAAATTTAGAAAAAGAAAAAAAAAAGAATTGTGTATAATCATTTTGACATTCACACCTCATCCATCCTTTTTTTTTTTTTTTTTTTTTGGTGTGTTTGGGGGATATGTGATAGGGAGAATAACAGACCCCAGAGATGCCTACATTCCTAATCCTTGGATATACTGGCAAAGGCATAAAGCAGATATATTAAAGCTAAGGACTGTGAGATGAGGAATTATCCTGGATTATTTGGGTGATCATAATATATCACATGAATCCTAAAGAAGAGGTTTCCGAGTTATGGTGAGAATGAGAGAGACCACAAACATGAATAACTGATCAAGTGCATGTACTGGGACAACAGAATGGAGGGTAAGAGAAAGCAGTTGGAAAGGACATGGAAGGGGGAGCCTGAGTGACTCCGACAGTTGAGCATCTGCCTTCAGCCTGGGTCATGGTTTCATGGTTCATGCATTTGAGCTCCGTGTTGGGATTTGTGCGACAGTGTGAGGCCTGCTTTGGATTCTCTGTCTCTCCCTTTCTCTGACCTTCCCTGTTTGCATGCACTCTCTGTCTCAAAAATAAATGTTTAAAAAAATTAAAAATAAAAAAAGGGCATAGCTCTCCACTGACAGCTTGGAAGATGGGTAGGGAATCATAATGCCCAGAAAGAAATGGCGTTCTACCAATGCCTTGTTTTAGCCGAGGGAGACCCATGTTAGACTATTGATATATAGACTTGTAGGATAATACATTCACATTGTTTTTAAGCTGCTAAGTTTGTGGTCACTTGTTATGGCAGTAATAGAAAACTAATATAACTAACTACAAATAAGTATGACCTCAACTCCTTCTCTGAAACTGCTCTAAAACTTAACAATAACTTCATAATCAACAATTTCAGTAAATTACTTTCAATACTCACCTTAACAGGACCTTTTGGTTGCACCAATAACACTCCCTTCCTGAAGATTTCTCCTTTCTTAGCTAAAGTCTTAGCTAAAGACACTAATATTTCCTGGTTCTCTAATGTCCTAGATTACTATTTTCTAGCTTGCTTACCTGGCTTCTCTTCTTCTATTTAATCCTTTATTTCTTTTTCAAATAAGTACTACTGGATACCAACAATAACGATATCATTACTGTCCCCAGTCAATAATTTCTTATCAAATATCTAATCAATTGCCTTATGACTTAAACATCCACACATTCATGTGACTGGTATATAGCTTTTACATTTCTTTTAACTTTGAAATCCCTCTACCATATCTTTACTTCTCCCTTAAAATTATTTTGTTCTAGAAACTAGATTGCCTTGTAGATTCCCAGAGTTTAGGTTTTACTCATGGCATTCCCATGGTATAATTTAAAATGTTCCCCTCTCTATTGTATTTCCTATAATGGGTAATTAGATCTATGGTATTTCTTAAATATTGATGCTCCCCAAGAAAATGTATTTCTCCTACTTCAATTCATACCTGTAAATTTCAAACTCTTCTCTTTCTGAACACTGAAACCACAGTTAACTATGTATGTTTATTCATTGTGTATGGCCCATAGAGACCTCAAATTCAACATGCCACCTAATTACTGTATAAGTCCCCTCCCATAAAATCTGCTACTTAATGCCCCATTCATGTAAGGCTGAACATGTACATTTATATCAAATCTTAACTCACTCACCCTTATATTCAGCCCATAATTCCCTTAGGTTCAAACTCCTGTTTTCCCAATGCTCCCTCATTCTTTAACACTTCATCTACCTTAACTGATTTTCCTATTTTCAGAGCCCTCAGGTCCTTTACAGAAAAAGTTTATCAACATTTGGTTTAAAGAGCCAGATGGTAAATATTTTGGGTTTTGCAGGCAATACCTTTTCTGCTATACCTAATCAACTCTGATCACAGCATGAAAGCAACTGCAGACAAAATGTAAATGAGTAGGTGTGGCTGTGTTCCAAAAAACTATCTCCAAAAATACTGGCCTTTGGGCCATAGTTTGCCAACCACTCACTCTATATTGATATCAAAATTTTTAAGTTTATTTATTTTGAGAGACAGAGAGAGAGAGAGAGAGAGAGAGAGAATTCCAATCAGGCTCCACACTTATCAGTGTGAAGCCTGACACAGGGCTTGGTCCCACAAACCATGAGATCATAACCTGAGCTGAAATCAAGAGCTAGATGTTTAACCAATCGGGTCACCCAGTCGCCTGGATTATCAAAATATCTTAAAAAGCAAATAAAACCATTTTACTTCCCTACCCAATCTGTGAGATCTTCTCTACTTCTATTTCCTACAGAATAAAATCTATGATTCCTAATAAAGTCCTTCATGATCTGGCCCTTGACATCCTCTAGCTTCAGCAAAAGATAACTTCTTTTCAAATGGGAACACTTCATTACTCTTTTTTTTTTTTAGTTTTGTTTTTTTCTTTTTGAGTTATAATTGACACGTAACATCATACAGTTGACCCTTGAACAACATATGGGTTGGGGCACCAACTTCCTGAGCAGTTAGAAATCTGTGTATAACTTTTAATTCCCAAAATATTTATTACTAATAGCCTACCACTGACTAGAGTCATACCATAAGCGCTCTAATGCATATTTTATATATGTATTATATACTGTATTCTTATAACAAGGTAAGCTAGAGAAAAAAAATTTTTAAGAAAAACATAAGAAATACATTTGTAATACTGTGCTGTATTTATTGAAAAAAATCCATGTATAATTGGACTCACAGTTCAAACCCATGTTGTTCAAGGGTCAACTGTATTAGCTTCAGGTGTACAACATCATGATTTAATTATATATATTGCAAAATGATCACGAATGAAGTCTAGTTAACATCAGTCACCATGTGTGTGTGTGTGTATATATATATAGTAAAATTTCTTTTTTCTAAGAAACCTCTTAAGATCTAATTTCTTAACAACTTTCAAATATGCAATACAGTATTATCAACTATAGTCACTACACTGTACATTACATCCCCATGACTTATTTATTTTATACCTGGGAGTTACTTTTTATACCTTGTGACTTTCTACCCATGTTGCTCATCCCACACCTCTGGTAACCACCAATCTACTATGAGCTCATTCCACACCTCCCCCCGCCAAGTATTTTTTTAGGTTCCAAGTAAGGGTTAACTATTCTACCACCAATTCTCTACATTCTTACCTTCTTCTTTAGGCATTCCAATCACATCCTCTATGAGGGTCACCACTTCTTTGCTGTTCTTTGGATGTTGTAAATTCACCCAAGTCCTGATGTCTTCAGGGAGAATTGTCAGAAATTGTTCCAGCACCAACAGTTGTAGAATCTGTTGCTTTGTGTGAATCTCTGGTTTCAGCCACTGAAGACAGAGCTCCCAGAGTTGGCACAGGGCTTCATGAGGCCCAGGCACATCCAAATACTGGAAATGTCTGAACTTCTGACGAGAGGCCTCAGAGTCACATGTTTCCATGACTGGGATGGATTCTTCCTGCCAAGACACATCTGCTTTCAGGGCCTCACTTTGTTCATATAGAGTCAGGCTTTGAGGTTTTGAAAAAGTCACCAACTTGGTCAGAGGCTGCATCTTCCTAGACAGAACTCTCACTATTGTTCCAATTTGTCTTACTAGAGGATTCTAATAATTCTTGGGCTTGGGCTAAGTATGTATGTACTATATATGCAGTGTGATTTGAACAAGTTCTATCTCAGTAAAAGAAAAGTTCCAGGAGCTTCAGACACAAAGCCAACATTAAGGTACCTGAGAGAATGAAAAAAAGATACCAATATGACCTATATTTAATGAACATGTTTTAGCATAGTGTCAAAAGATTAAATAACATTCTTCAAATTGTCTAATAAGAAATATTATGGATTATCCTTCCATTCTTGTTTCTCTTTTTTATAACAAGAAAGTATGCTTGTCCCTTCCCCCAAATCATCCACAAAAAAAAGACAAAATAAACACAGACATCATACAAAAGTGATAAATGAAATAGCCCTTTAAAAAAAATCATCAAGACAGTATGGTACTGGCACAAAAACATACACATAGACCAATGGAATAGAATACAGAACCCAGAATTGGACCCACAATTGTATAGCCAATTAATGTTTGACAAAGCAGGAAAGAGTATCCAATGGAATAAAGACATTGATGGTAAATATGGTTGTTCATGGGAACTCATTCTACACAGCCAGATGGTGCTGGGAGAACTGGACAGCAACATGCAGAAGAATGAAACTACACCACTTTCTTACACTATACACAAAAATAAACTCAACATGGCAGCGCATGGGTGGCTCAGTCAGTTGAGCATCCAACTTCGGCTCAGGTCATGATCTCACAGTTTGTGGGTTTGAGCCCCGCATCGGGCTCTGTGCTGACAGCTAGCTCAGAGCCTGGGGCCTGCTTCGGATTCTGTGTCTTCCTCTCTCTCTGACCCTCCCCTGCTCACGCTGTCTCTCTCTCTCAGAAATAAATAAAACATTAAAAAAATTTTTTTAATAAATAAATGAACTCAACATGGATTAAAGACCTAAATATGAGCCCTGAAGCCATAATACTCCTAAAAGAAACATAGGCAGTTAATCTCTCGGACATCAGCCTTAGCAATGTATTTATGAATATGTCTCCTTAGGCAAGAAAAACAAAAGCAAAAATAAGCTATTGGGACTACAACAAAATAAAAAAGTTTTTGTAAAGAAACCATCAATAAAATCAAAAAGAAACCTACTGAATGGGAGAAGATATTTGAAAATGACATCACTGATAAAGGGTTAATATCCAAAATACATAAAGAATTTATATGATTCAACACACGCATATATACATAAACAAATAATTTGATTAAAAAATGGGTAGAGGAGCTAAACAGACATTTTCCCAGAGAAGACACATAGATGGCCAACAGGTACATGAAAAGATGCTCAACACCACTAATCATCACCACTAATGCAAATTAAAACCACAATGAGGTATCATCTCACACCTGTCAGAAAATGGCTAATATCAAAAAGACAAGAAATGACAAGTGTTAGTATGAATGTGGAGAAAAGTGAACCTTATGCACTGTTGGTGGGAATGTCAATTAGTGCAATCACTGTGGAAAACAGTAAGGAGGTTTCTCAAAAATTAAAAATAGAAATATCTTATGATCCAGTAATTTCACTACTGGCTATTTAGCCAAAGAAAATGAAAATACTAATTTGAAAAGATATATGCTTTATGTTTATTGATTTACAATAGTCAAGATATGGAAGCAACCGAAGTGTCCATCCATAAAGATGTGATATATATATGTGTATACACATACATATAAAAAACAAAAAGTTAGCCATAAAATATACATATATATACATACAGAACTTGTGTGTTATATATATATAAGCAGAATATTACTCAGCCATAAAAAGGAGGTGATCTTGCTATCTGCAACAAGATGCATGGATCTAGAGGGTATTATGCTAAGTCAGAGAAAAACAAATACTGTATGATTTAATTTAAATGTGGAATCTAAAAACCAAAAAAAATGAATAAACAAATCAAACAGACTATTAAATATAAAGAACTAGTGGTTCCCAGAGCAGAGGTGGGTGGGTCGATGGGGAAAATAAAGGGGATTAAGAAGTACAAGCTTCTGAGTGAGGAGGGGGCAAGATGGCGGAGAAGTAGGGGGATCCATACATTGCACTCGCCACCATATCTCACACGGAAAAGATCTGAAGCCATAGAAAACCTTACAGAATCCAAGAAATTGGGAGAAAAATGACGCAGAATCCACTGAGAAAGCCTTCTAATGTGAGTGCGAACTGCGGAATATAAAATCCGGCCGGGATCAGAGACTCAGAGGGACAGGGGCGATCCCCCTCTGCGGGGAGTGAGAGAGGAAAGAGAGAGGCCGAAACTACTCAAGACACGGTCCCTGTCGCTGGGGAACAGAAGAACTTCCGCTCGGGGCACAGAAGGACCCTGCGCACCAGGTCCCCGCATACCAACTTGTCCTGGAGCGGCAGTGCGCCGACCAATCCTTTGTGCTCCTGGCTCGGCTGGACACCTAGAGGAGCCACACGCCTACCACTCCTTTGTGCTCCTGGCTCGTCTGGACCCCTGGAGGGGCCGCACACCTGACCATGCTTCCATGCTCCTGCCTAGATAGGATCCCTAGACAGGAGGCGAAGGGCTTAAAACTGGGATATTTGCCCGCAAGTTCCTGTTTCAGGTGACGAGACACAAAAGGACCCAGTTTCCCCCTCTCCAGCGGACCCGAGGCACCCCCCAGGCAAACCCCCCATCCTTGCTCACCAACCCAAACCTGGTGGAGAAGGGAGCAGCAATTCTGGCTCAATCCCCAGGGCTAGGCAAGAGGCTTGGAATAGCCCTGAGGGGATGGCCTGCGAGGCTGTGTCTACAGCAATTTCAGTGGGGCACGGAGACTGGGATTTGGAAACTAGGCCTCACCTGGGTTAAAGAGTGCGACCCACTGTGGCTGCACCACCGGCACGGGGAGTTTACACACCCAAAAAAGTGAGGTGCAGTGCTTGGTTCAAGAAGGGACTGGAGTGCCGCCACTCTCCTCCCCACAACCGCCAAGGCAGAACACCCGCCTGACACATTGGATCAAACCACGCCCATCACTGCTAGAGAGCGGCCTTCCTCTTTTTTTTTTTTTTCTCTTTTTTAGCCTTCCTTTTTTTTTTTTTTTTCTCTTTTTTTCCGGAACACTGACCTGATTAATTCTGGTCACTGGCTTGCTTAAACAGTCACATTTAGTCCATTCTGTAGATGTAAATTCTACACCTAACTACCTTTTCATCTCTTTCTCTCAGGAGTAATTAGACTATATCGTTTCTCTGGATAACACCAGCATACTTCTCTCACCTCTCCAACCATATTCCACCCTTTAGCTCTTTGAAAAAAGCTTCTTATCCCTTCTGCATGTTCATTCTATTTCCAATTTTGCCAAATCCACACCCTGTCTTCTCTCTCTTTCTCTATGCTCTTCAACCAGCACTGCATACACCCGGCTATTTAATTGTAGCTGGGAAATATGGTTATATGCTTTAAACCGTACTTTGTCCATCGGTTTTCTTCTTTTTTTCTTTTCGTTTCTTCTTTTTGACTTTTTAATGTATTTTTTATTTTCTAGTATTCACCTTCCCTCCTCTGGCTTTTCTCTTAACTTTTGTGTTTTCCCTCTCGGTTTGCATGTTTGTTGGATTTATCCGTGTGTTTGTGTGCCTCTGCTCCCTGTGTGTTTGTCTGTCTGTTTTCTTCTCCAGGGCTACCTCAAGAAACAAGCCGAGGTACACATGGTGGAGAGTCCCAAATATCATTACGAATAGGAAAATAAAATAACCAAGGTCTCAACAAGAGAGACCAAGAGATACCATTCAAAAAACACTTTCTGAAAGATTAGGGCCTGGACAGTCAGAGTCTTCTTGGGTACAGCAGAACTCACAGGTGCAGAGAGCATAACAAGTCTTTAAATCTAACAAGAGATAGAAACTCAACCAGAATGACGAAACGAAAGAGCTCTCCTCCAAAGAAATTCCAAGAAGAACTGACAGCTAAAGAACTGCTCAAAACAGATATCAGCAGCATAACTGAACAAGATTTTATAACAATAATCGTAAAATTAATCGCTAGGCTTGCAAAAAGCATAGAGGACATCAAAGAAACTATGACTACAAACAACATGGAGCAAAAATAGGCATGATGAATTTAAAAATACGATAAATGAGATACCTAATAAATTGGAGAGTCCAATGCACAGATTGAAGAGGCAGAAAGGAAAATAAGTGATTTAGAAGACACCATTATAGAAACAGAAGAAACTGAGAAAAAAAGAGACAAACTGATCCAGGAACATGAAAGAAGAGCTCAAGAGATCAGCGATATGGTCAAATGTAACAATATCCGTATCACAGGAATCCCAGAAGAAGAAGAGAGACGGAAAGGTGCTGAAGGAGTCTTGGAACAAATTATAGCAGAGAACTTCCCCAACCTGGGGAAGGAAGTAAACGTTGAAATACAAGAGGCACAGAGGACTCCCCTCAGACGTAATTTGAATCTATATTCTGCATGGCATATCATAGTAAAAATGGCAAAATATAAGGACAAAGAGAGAATTTTGAAAGCAGCTAGGGAGAAAAGGGCCCTAACATATAAAGGGAAACCTATCAGAGTGGTGACAGACCTATCTACTGAAACTTGGCAGGTCAGAAAGGAATGGCAGGAGATCTTCAATGTGATTAACAAAAAAAAAAATATGTAGCCAAGAATCCTCTATCCAGCAAGCCTGTCATTCAAAATAGAAGGAGAGATAAAAACCTTTCCAAATAAACAGAAATTGAAAGAATTTGTCACCACTAAGCCAGCCCTACAAGAAATCCTGAGGGGGACGCTCTGAGGGAAGTGTTGAAGGAACAAAGATACAAGAGACACCACCACAAGCATGAATCCCACAAAAGACACAAAGACTCTAAACCCACATATTTCAATAATAACACTGAATGTAAATGGGCTGAATG